GCAACCTGATACCGGGGTACGAGTGGGCGGTGGATGGCAACGTATCCCAACACGGTTGACGTCCCAAGAAGTGCTCCGATTGACCGGCTCACCTCTCTCTCGAAGAGTCCGCCTCCTGCGCTCCTCCCGCCCCCGCCCCACCGGGACCGCGAAGGAGATGATCGATAACGCCTTCGCTGGTCCTCCCACTACCGCTGGCGGCGGAGGCGGGGGCGGTGGACTTGTCGCCGATATTGATATTCACGGTGGCGGCCGAGGCGAAAATGCGGTACCCCGCCGGTCGGCTGGGGTCCGGTACGTACGTGGCGGTAGGGGGCAGGGTCCACCGCGGCACCCGCGTCCGGCGGTTGTAGTAGTAGCTGCGGGATTCCCGTGCGAGCGGTTTGGGGCGCGTCGGGGTCGGTGCAACAAAAGGATGCCTGTGTGTGTATGACCCCTGCTGATCAAGTGTATACCAGATCGTGCAGACTAGCGCCAGAATAGATGGGCCACAACACACACAAACACACATACTTGACATGCAAATGGGTCGGCCGTACATAGAGCAACATAGCGTACAAATGCCGAAGGGTTGTTGGCTTGTGGCCACGGGACACGTAAGTTGGATCTGTACCGACGCTGTAAAAGTACTGAGCAGAGATTCGAACGCTTTTTGATGTCAAGAACACAACAAGAACAATTATCCGGGGGGGGGGGCGGTGCTCACATCTTTCCCTCCGCCGTGTGCGCCTCCTTCCACTCGTCGTGCTCAACCGTAAGCATTTCCGCCGCGTCATGCCCCGCCCCCGCCACTCCACCCAACCACCGTGGGCCGCCGCCCGTCGCCGCTTGGTCTCTGCTGGCACCGAGCTTGCCGCCTCCCCCCCCTCGCCCCATGCTCTCAGCAGCGCTCATTCGCTCGCTGCTCCGGCCCACCACAAACCTCGACGACTGCGTCTGCTCCCGGGGGAAATCGTCCACTACGGCCGTAGCACCAGTAGAACCGATTCTCCTATCCCCTCGGTCGACAGGACTCGCCTTGGTGGAGGAAAATCCAAGGGGGTACGCGCAATCATTCTCGTGTTGTCTAGCGGCTGTGCGAATGTGCATACTAGTTGCGGCGCCGCTGCTGCCCTCATCATAGCACGTGCCACCGTTGTCGTATCCGCAGTGGTTGTTGTTGTTGTCATCGTCGTCGCTGCGGTCGTGACGCACCATTGGCGCGATACGCACAGGCTCGTGGTCGGAAGGCGAAACTCCCATCCGACGAGCCCCTCCTCCTCCTCCTCTTCCTCCTCGATTTTCCAATAGGACGTGCCCCGAAATCTGCTGTGTTTTTTATGTAATTGTGTCCGAGGACAGAAAAAAAAAACGCCGTTGTTGCGGTTCGCATTCTGTTTTCGAGCGCTGAGATGATAACGAGACGAGTGCCACTTGCTGCACGCGGGCGTAACGCATCGAAATGCGCGAGTCGGCTGCGAGCACTTAATTTTGCACACCGGCTAGTTCTTGACGATCTACATACTCAGCCAAGGCGTGTCCCCGACCGTGTCCCTCACGGTCTGCGTAAGAGCCCATCAGCAACACCCACAACGAACGACCACACTCACTCTTGTTGTGATCGACGCTCGTTGTTGTTGTTGTTGTCGTTGTCTACACTCGTTGTTGTTGTTGTTGTCGTTGTCTACACTCGTTGTTGTTGTTGTTGATGTGTTCACGTCAAAAAACCGTTCCGGTCTCCACTCAGTAACAAGTGCCTTCTTATGCCCGCACTGGTTCAACTGCCTGACGCGGACATCTGAAAAAGAGAAAAAACGAACGCCGTTCGTTCTCAACAAACGT